AGTGCTGAATGAAACGACCTAGGAGGATGGCCTCTACCAAAAGTACCTCTGCTTCCAGACGAAGCATCGCTAAACCCACCGGAATGACGAGGCCTCTTGTCAGACCCCTAACCTTCCCCCTGTGCAAGAACCATCTCGACTCGCCTAGCAACATCGACAGCCGTCTGAAAAGAAATCTCACTCCCGGTCTCCTTAGCAATTTGCAACTTGATAGGATGAGCAAGTCTCTAAATAAACCTCCTCACCCTCTATCTCTCTCTCTCTCTCTCTCGGTAGGAAGCAGAAGAATAGCATGATGGGCCATATCTACAAAACGTGTCTCATACTGAGTGACGAACATACTGCCCTGCTGGAGATGCTCGAACTGAAGGCGATACTCCTTTCTCAATGTGATAACGGGGAACTTCTCCAGGAAGAGCTGAGAGAACTGGTCCCAAGTAAGAGCAGGAGACCCCACTGGTCTGGTCAATACAAAATCCTTCCACCATCTCTTGGCGTAACCCGGCATCTGAAACACAGCAAAATCGACCCCATTGGTCTCAATTATCCCCATGTTTCGCAGAACCTTATGACAGCGGTCTAGATAATATTTTGGGTCATAGGAAGGTACACCACTGAAGTGAAATATGAAGAGCTTGGTAAACTTGTCCAATCTCAATAAGCCATCAGAAGACATAGCTGGCCCATCATCGTCCTGTGCCGAAACAACCGACTGAACTACTCCGACTGGCTCAACTGTTGGAATCTGATACTGGGGAGCCATATGCTTTGGAGTGTGAGTAGCAGGAGTTTGTGCTCCTCCTCCAGCCTGAGAGATGGTTGGTGCCATGGGAAATGTACTAGTCTGGGTCACACTCTCCATAAGGCCCACCAAACGGACCAAAGCGTCCTGAAGCGCTAGGGTGGCAATGAACCCCTCCGGGACCTGAGCTGGTCCGACAGGAACAGTCTGGGCTGGAACCTCCTCGCCAAACTCTACCTGAGGCTCCACTGCTGGTGCTGGTGCTCGAGCCCTGGGCTGAGCTCTGCCCCTGCCTTGGCCTCTGGCATGGCCTCGGCCTCGACCTCTGCCCGTCGTAGGAGTTGCCACTGGCGGCTCTGGCTGCTGCTCAGCTGAAGATGCAGTATGTGTTCTTGCCATCTGCGAGAAAATAAGAGTAGAAGAGTTCAATTAGCAATGAGAGAACAAAATCACAGGACAGAAAAGAATGGAAGTGAAATTTGTTCCTAAACTTCATAGCCTCTAGAAGATAAATACAGACATCTCCGTACCGATCCTCCAGACTCTACTAAGCCGCTCATGAACTGTGAGACCTAGGCAACCTAGTGCTCTGATACCAACTTGTCACGACCCGAAATTTCCACCTTCGGGACCGTGATGGCGCCTAACATTTCACTTTATAGGAAAGCCAACATTAGAGAACCGTTAAGTCAATTATTATTCAATTTAATAGATACAGTCAATTAAACCAAAATAAAAAAAATCGAGTGCAGAATAACATAAAGCCCATAATATCTGAGACAATTCGGATATGGAGTCACAACTCACGAGCTTCTGAGATTTTCTACAAATAGAGTATAAAAGAAATACAACTGTTTGAACGAAAGAAACAGTAAACAAAACTGAAAAGATAGACGGGGACTTCAAGGTCTGCGAACGCCAACAGATTTACCTTGAGTCTTCGATGAACCAGTCCGAGCTGCTACTCCTCTCGATCAGCTTGGACCAATACCAAAATTTGCACAGGAAGTGCAAAGTGCAGTATCAGTACAACGGACCCCATGTACTGGTAAGTGTCGAGCCTAACCTCGACGAAGTAGTGACAAGGCTATGACAAGACACCTGCATAACAAACCTGTGCAATTTAACAATATATGTACAAATAATAGCTAAACATGTACTATTGAGAGGGGGAACATGCTGAGGGGAATACGAGATAGAGAACTACAGCAGAATGGTAACTTGAACAACCAATATACTATGAACCAATAAGAACAAGAAAACACAGTTATGGAAAAATGCACGGCATCACCCTTCGTACATTAACTCTCGTAACATGGCACGGTATTACCCTTCGTGCATTAACACTCACAATATGGCACGGTATCACCCTTCATGCATTAACAATCACAATATGGAACGGTATCACCCTTCGTGCATTAACACTCACAATATGGCACGGTATCACCCTTCATGCATTAACAATCACAATATGGAACGGTATCACCCTTCGTGCATTAACACTCACAATATGACACGGCATCACCCTTCGTACATTAACACCCTCCCTTACCATAAAACAATGAACAAATAACAACAGGGAGATAGAATAAGAAGTACAAGCCTTACTTCAATATTTGGTTCCATAATATCAACCCAACTTCGGAATCAATACTCAATTATCACCAGAAGATCCGTAAACATGATAAGAACGATCAATTTAAAAATACTAATCTAAACATGTATAAAATGAATGAAGGAAGCTATAATTGCAAAAAACCAAGCCCCGCCCGCATGCTTTAACCCGACTACAACGCATAAGTACTCGTCACCTCACACATTCATTGTTCCCCAACATTTTAACATGTAGCAAATAGACAAACAAGTCATATTCCCTCAAGTCAAGGTTAACCACAACACTTACCTTGCTCCGAAGACCAAACTCAAAGCGCAACCACTGCTTTTCCTTTCAAACAAGCCTCCGAACCAATAGAATCTAGCAATTTACCAACCAAACGATACAAATTAAGCCTTAGGAACTACCCGCGATTGTAAAGAATTCAATTTAGACCATTATTCAAAAAGTCAACACCCGGGCCTGCTTGGTCCAAACCCAAAATTCGGACCAAAACTCGATTACCCATTCGCCCCCGAGCCCAGTTATGTGATATGTTTTGGAATCCGGCCTTAATTTGAGGTCCAAATCCCCAATTTACAAAATCCCTAATTTCTACCCAAAAACCCCCAATTCCATCATGAAAACTCTAGATTTTAGGTTGAAGACTTGAGAAATGTAGTAAAAGATTGAAAAGAAATAGGTTAGAATCACTTATCAATGATTTGGGGAAGAAGGAGTCTTAGACAAATCGTCTCTAAGGTTCTAGGTTTTGAAAATTTGAAGAATGGACCAAAAATCGCGTCTAAGTAATATTTTGTTCACTTGCAAATGTCGCATTTGTGACCTGGGTGCGAAGCCCGCAAATGCGAGAAATCCATCGCATTTGTGAAGACTCCCACACCTCTACAATCATCGCATTTACGATAAAACATTCACAAATGCGAACACTGCTTGACCTCAAATGCGACCCAATGATCGCAAATGCGAAGAATCTCCCTTCCCACCTCCCATTGCAAATGCGAAGCTTTGTTCGCAAATGCGGACATTGGCCTTCCGCAAATGCGACCTCATGATCGCAAATGCGGACCTAGGCTGATCCAGGCACACTTCGCAAATGCAAAGAAATGGCTCGCAAATGCGAGCCTGACAGAAGATGGAAATGTTCGCTAATGCGAACTCTGATCTCGCAAATGCGAGATCAGAGGCTAGTTCCTAGAAATTGCAGACACCAGCAAATGTTCTAAGTTCAATTCACTCTGTAGCCTATCCGAAACTCACCCGAGCCCTCGGGGCTCTAAACCAATCATCCATCCAAGTCTAAAAATATCATACGAACTTGCTCGCGCGATCAAATTGACAAAATAATACCTAGAACTATGAATCGGACACCAAAATCAAATTAAAGTTTCAAGAAACTTTAGAATTGCTATATTAACAACCGGACGTCCGAATCACGTCAAACCAACTCCGTTTCTTACCAAATTTGACAAACAAGTCATAAATATAATATTGGACCTATATCGAGTTTCGGAACCAAAATACGGATCCGGTATTCAAAAAGTCAAACATCGGTCAAATATTTCTAAATCATTAAGCCTATAACATTTAAATTTCAACAAAGTCCGATAACTCGGGTTAGGGACTTTCAAATTCGATTCCGAGCAAACGCCAAAGTCCCAAATCACAATACGGACCCGCCGGGACCGTCAAAATACGAATCTGGGTCTGTTTGCTCAAAACGTTGACCGAAGTCAACTCGAATGGATTTTTAAGGCAAAAATTTCATATTTGCTCAATGTTTTTACATAAAATCTTTTCGGAAAAACACTCGGACTGCGCACGCAAATCGAAAAAGAATAAAAATGAGATATTTAAGGTTTCATGGTGCATACCTTTCCTTGGTTATATTTGGTGCATACCTTTCCTTGGTTATATTTAAGGTTTCATGGTTATATTTGGACTCAAAGTATAACGAGGGGTACATTTAAACCTTTTCTGATAGTAGAAGGGTATACTTGGCCCTTTTTCGCTGAATTAATGTCTTTTATTAGCATTATTATTTATTTAATTTTGGTTTAGGATTTATTTGAGTTACTAACATTTATGGACTATAAAACTTATTGGAGCATCTAAAAATTATAAGTCCAAACTTGAAATAATACGTTAAAAGATAAAACTATGAAAACGTTTAAGAAATATTTATAAACTACACTACCATAAATATTTTATGTATTAAATATTTTAAAACTTCTATACATATAATGTCGGGTTGGTTTGGTTTCAGTTTGACTTTTTTTACTTAAAACCAAACCAAACCAAATATGGTCGGGTTTTCTTTTCCAACACCAAACCATAGTCGAATTTTTGTTCTCGATTTGACTCGTATTATCGGGTTGGTGCTGTTTGTCGGTTTCATTTGTACACCCCTAGTATTAGCTGGTCCCCAATGTCTATAGGGACCAAAACTCTGGTCCTAAAAATGATATATAGACCACAATAAATATATGATTTTTTGGTCATGTAATATTAAATACTATAAAATTTATAATACATAAAAACAAACGAATATTAATAAAATTCAATAATATTTGAATTTCATATATAAAATAAATTACAAGTATTATACTAACATCTCATTAGTCTCACTGTATGGCCATAGTATAGTATAAGTCACTATATTGGTTATACAACCCCTTAAAGAGTCTCATTAGTATCATTGTACGATCATGGTATAAGTCACAATATTTCTTACACAACCCCTTAGGGGAAAAAAGAAAAACTAACATCCAAATGTAAAAAAAAATATAAAACTTTGCCTCAACAAAAACTAAATCCTTCTAAAATAAGGGAACCTTTTGTCTAACCGTCCTGCCAATATGATAATCAACTTGTTAACTTGTATGAAGTCTTCAAAAGTTGTTTGTGAGTCTTCAAAAGCTGTAAAAATTAATAAAAAATATCCAGTAAGCAAAACTACAAAGATCAATAGTAAATATTAGTTAAATAATTGAGAGGTGATCATTCCAGCAGCAATATAACCAAGCTTAGTTAATAAGAAACTAGCAAAGTAAAAGAAAAAAGGAAACAACCATGCTTGAAAAATAAGAAACTAGTAGAAACAGTGAGGAAATGAGATTTAGTTTATCAATGAAAACAAAGCAATGCATCTCAAAATATTCAAATGATCTCCATGGGAAAAATGGCAATCTTGCTTAGACGGGAGGTACAACAACAACAATAACAAAAGATGGAATTTATCAATATTACACTCTAAGTGACACTTAGCCTAAGGAACAAAGTTAAAGTTTAAAATACCATTAGCAGAGATAAACGATGCAATCTTCTTTCAACATTAGTGGTATATGGTAGAATGTTCCAATATTATTTAGAAAGCTTGAGTTTAGTAAAAAGGAATAAACTTAATTAAGTAATTTGCTCTAGAGGTTTCAGCTTTGTTGCTCATCAATGCATTGGTTATACATACATATAATAGTATAAATGTAATAACAAATTATTAGGTGAGATAAAGTGCATTCTAATGAAGTTAAATACATACCAATCAAATGCTAACAATGAACAAATAATGCAAAATAATCTAATATCCACTCCACTGTTAGCTCAAGTATTAGAGATGGTCGGCCATATTTTTTCAACAACATGGTGGAACACAAGAGAACGAATCAATAATATAAAAATTTGGATATTCCAGGTTCATAAAAGTTCATTCACTTCAAATGTAACTAACACATGCATTTAAATTATAGGTGTGAAGGGGTAGGGTCGGTCGGGTAGAGGAAAAGGGAACCAGCCGATTTCGTTACCGGGCCAGTTTCCGGTTATTTTTTACTGGGTTTACCGGTTCCGGGCTTTTCCGGTGTAAAAATTTAACCGGAACAGTTCCGGGCCTACTGGGACGGGTCGGGCTTATTTAAATTTTTTGTATTTTGTATTTTGTATAACAATGATAATTAATATTAAGATAAAGTAAAACCGTAAAACACTATAAACTGACGTATAAAAAGAATGTTTGAATAAATTTCAAAGGCTTTAAAATCCTTATATTTGAAAATTTTATTACGAATTTAAGATACTACAATGAACATGAAAAAAATATAACTTATAATATAAGTCTTATAGTACTAGAGTGTTAATAAGTTGACATGTAAGGATCAAACTTCAAAGATTTTTATAGTTTCGTTTCAAATTTTTATTGCAAAATAATACTTCAAATTAATCTAACAAACTAAAACATTAAGCTTAAATATGTCTAATAATTTTAAAATAACACAAATTATCTCAAATCAACTTAAATACGAATTTCTGGAGGACGCTGAGAACAACTCTTCATATGCCTCCTTAAACAGCCTGTGCCCTCCCTCTTTCGACAAACATTTAAGACTCGACCACAGTTCTTGCACTTTACTTTGCGAACTTCTTCATTTTCTTCTACCACCTTAAAGTATTCCCAAACATATGAGCGCACTCTAGAAGTATGGAGCATGATTTAACTTGAACTGAGAATTTGGGTTTGAGAATTGAGAGATGAGTAAAGAAATGAAGAAGGAGGGTCTATTTATAGTTTTTCAAATGGCTAAATTTGTAAATAATAAAAGTGTTATTTTTAAAAAAATAATGCCCAAAAGGGCTATTCCTGCAAATTAGCCATTGGGCAACGGTCAAAATGGCAGCTGACTGTTACCAAACGGTCAACTTTATAAAAAAAAATCAAAATAGCTGTTGAACCGGTCCAAGACGGTCCGGTTAACTATTTCCCAAATGACTTGACCATAACGGGTCGAACCGGTCCGATTAACCGAAACCAAAAATCTACTCGGCACAGGCCGATCCCCGTCCCAACCCATCCCTGCCAGCCCCCTTACTACCGGTCCGGGCCGGTCTAAAATCGGTCAGGGCCGGTCCGAAACCGGGCTAGCCCGGCCCATTTGACACCTTTAATTTAAATCACTAGGATTCACTTTTTTTATTTTTAGTTGACTCATTTTTACATTAGCATCTAAATATCGAGATTCATATAACATATAAAACGACCAATTGTAAATCACAAAGCGCCATCTTACATGAATTATGAAGCAGTCATTCTAACAGTGGTTCTCCAAAACTTTTGCAAAATGATGAGATTACTGCCCGCCATATCATAGCTTAGTACAACCCAAAATATGAAAACAAGTCCGAAAAATAATTACTCAAACTAAACCAGTAATGATTCAAGCAAAAGGATAATGGAATTCAAAATTGAGTTAGAATCAATAGGACATACATGATCTTGATGTATGTGTTTCAATGAAGCAGCAATTTCAACTAAATAAAAAAGAACCAATACTAGAAGCAAATGATGACAGATAAATTAAAAACATATTTCGAATCAAATTGAAAATTAATTTAAGGAGATCCTAAGCCACGAATAGAGAATTTCACAAAATAATTAAGAACTACAAGAAGCTTCAGTACTAAATAAACAAAAAATAAAAGTAAGCAGATTGAAAGATTAAGAAAAAACAAACCTGAGAAATTGCAGCTTGAATAAAGAGATTTAAGGTTGAGAGAAAACTTCAGAGGGCGGGGAGTCATTCTTTTGGGGATGAATTTGAGAGGGTTTAGGCCCTTTGGATAGGGATTTCAGAGGATGAGTGGATTTTAAGTCGAAATATTTTTACGATTTTTTTTTATTTTTCTAGATGCATAATTAAATGGTTCTTTTCTCATTTAAAGTATAGGGACAAGAATTTTAATATTTCTATGGACTAGATTTTGTTCCGTCGTTAAATAAAAAGATAAAATCTGGTAATAATGACTAGAGAAAAATCTCGTCTCAATAAGTATACTTTTAGGAACTGTTTGACCAAAAACTATAACTTTCGGATAAAACTATTATTTTTAAGTAATGATAGGTTAAACCTAGTTAATAATAATGTCTCTAAATGCTAATTCTGAACATGTGGGTAACATGGAATAGATTTAGTGGGAGACTCACAATAACATACATTAAATATTCCAAAAGCTTTGAGAAATAATGGAGGAGTAACTAGCAATAAATAACAATAATTGACATTTAAGTAAATAGGAAGAGTGGTTCATCCAATAATGAATGAACTAGATGATTGTTCTTCCTGACAATGATGAGTGACAGAAAAATCCTAGAATGTTCGAACTATTCTCGGATCTAATGGAAAAGTGTGGAATAATATGAACAAGAATCTTAATGAAAAGGTAATCTTTGTATATTTTACAAGAGAGAGAATATTTATCAGAAGTCTGTGCTTCTCCAGTGAATATTGCCTGCCCCCTTTCCTTATCTTTTTTCCTATTTATATGGGACGTAGCCCTAAAAAACCTAATAGTTCATGTGCCCAGAATATTCTTTAGAATATTCCCTCTATTATACTATTCTAAACACTAGCCGTTACAGTCCTTTCCACAGTGCTCGACCTCGGTCATTGTTGATATCCCGACCACAAGCTTCGCCGTTTCCTGATCGACCTCGATTGACTCTTCCCTCGATACTACCTCATCCTAAATGCTCGGTGGTAGATTTTTACCTATACAGTTAGTCCCTCCGCTCATTGAGGTCGTCCTCACACGACCTCGATAAGAGAATTTTGGTGGTTTTGGTCGAGAAGAGTGGGTGAGTGGATCAGGCAATTAAGTTTGGGACGAGATAGCAATGTGGCCTTTCGTGAGCCGCAACTTTCAGGGTTACGTCGTTTCCGCACTAGAATGACGTCATGACATCATGCATCATCATGACGTGTTTTCCCGATGCTTTGCGTCATTTTCCGTGCGACTGTCAGTTGGGGCTGCCGTTTCGATTACAGTGTCGAGTAATGATGGCATAATCTCTTGGTTTTGATGCCCAAATTCTTATAAATAGAGATGTGATGACATTCATTTGTTCTTTACGTTTTTTTCTCATCAAAACCTTGTGCCTTCTTCTCCTTCTTCAATTACTTTGTGTCTTCTTTCCTAGTCTTAGTGATTGATGTTACTTCTAATCCTTCTTTGCCTGAATATACTTTCTCTCATCAAAGTTATGGCTAATGTAACCTCTGGTTCTGATGTGGGAACTTACCATGTCTCTTTGGCGGTGCTTATGCCTCCTAGCGCTGATGGCGTCTCTGTCGCCATCGAAGATGAGAACTTTTCTACGGCGGAGGAAATAATTCCTCGTGGCGAGAAAGTTAGGTCTGACTTCTCGAAAGCGCCTGAAGACGAGCCCGAGGTCTCTAAGTCGGCAATGAAAGAGGCCGATCTAGGAGAGATTAGGGCAAAATTCAACATACCCGTCTGCATAGATTTGGTCCCAGCAGGGCGTGATGTGGTACAAATCCACCGCCCCGGGTATTGTGCGTTTTATGCATATCCTTTCTAGGTCTGCTATATTCTTCCCCTTCTCCCATTGGCGGAGGAAATATGTCGCTACTATGGCTTGTGCCCAGCTCAACTCACCCCATATATCTACAAGCTCATCAAGATGCTTACTAAATTTATTGAGTTGGTCGGGGTCGATATCACACTCCAACATCTGATGCATCTCTTCGTCCCTAGTTTCTATAGGGGGAAAATGTTGAACCTTCGCGATCGTGGAGGCAAATGTCTGGTGGTGAAGATGGATGACAAAGCAAATCGTCAGTTCTGGCACAATTATTTCTTTGTCAAAACCAAAGACGTGGTGGCCAACGCGGATGGCTTCCCCGATACTTGGAATTACACTCATAAGCATCTATTATTATTTTGTTAAAACATTTGAGCTGTCTATTTTAGTCAAAGGCTCTGAACTTTTGTCCACTCTTCGTGCAGCCATGACTACGCCCCCTCTTTTGGTTTGGGACATTTCTGACTGGGTTGGCCGGGTTTTGCCTCACATTGTAGGAATTCGTGAGTGGCCGGGCTTTTTTAGGAAGTTTGGGCCTGCTCCTTCCTTGGCCGGTGAGTTTATCTATATATATTTTTGATGTTTTGGTCTCATGGTCGCCTACTTATTATAGTTTGCTATTGGTGGTGGTGATAACCTTACTTTGATTTTTCTTTTCCATCCCGAGGGTCTTCGAGGAAGCAGAGGGCTCCTCCTCTTGCATTTCGTAAGAGGAAGTCCGCCTTTTCTTCAGCGTCTATTCCCACTGTAACCGTGGCTAGGCCTGCTCGATCGTCTTCTTCTATTTCTTCCTCAACTACGACCAGGTCTGCTCGTACGTCGGCCCCATCTACTGCTCCCTCAGCAACGGTTTCTTCTCCGCCTACGGATATTTTGATAGCGGAGCTTCTGGTTTCCCCCCTTTACCGTCTTGTGGACAAGGAGGAGGAGGAGTCGCCGAGCGGTGGGAATTTTGTTCCCATCAAGAGAATATTGGTAGACATTGGTGATGGGGTCACCCGAGCCGCAGATTTAGTAATGGATGATTTTATCATTCGTGAGACGGCAGCCATAATACTTGAGGATGACGTCGAGCTGGCGTCTGATATTCCGATATCCAGCGGAGGTCGTTTAAGGCGTGCTTCTTCCTTTTGCGGCGGTAGGAGCCGAAGGGCCGGCCGCTGTGGCTTCTGATACTTTACGGCAGGAGGGGCCGTCGACTTCGTGGCCTGCTAACGATGTTTCTCTAATGGCCGATGGGAGAGGCAAAGGCTTTGCCGAGGATGGCTATGAGACGAGTTCTGAACTCGATGCTGACGAAAAGAGGATGATGGAGGAGGTATTTACCCAGATGGATGAGGGATTTACCCAACTGGAGGTGAGACTGGAGGGGTCCACGCGGAATATTACGATCCGTATGGATCAGGATTTATTAAAAGATACAGAGAACGTGGTTCCTTCCCTCGGTCCCTTTTGCTCCGACGTGGAGGGTCGAACTCTCCAAGAGCTGAATGATGCTACCTTATCGAGGAGCATAGTCGGCCTCGCACTCACGATAAGTTTTTCGATGCTTCACATTTCTGTTTGTTATGTTCAACGTTTAGGCCTCGTTCTTACTCTGTCTGTTTTCTTTTTCTCTCATTTCTAGACCGTGATCTTGGAAATTAAAACCGCCTAAAGAGAGGTAAGGCGTAAGGCTATTTTTATAAAGTTGCGGCAAAAATACCGTGAGTACCATATAAAGCACCGGGAAATTTATAGGCGGTTTGGTGAGAGCGGCAATCTGCAGACTCTTCTAGATGAACTGAATGAGAAGGATGACGAGCTAGTGAGGGTCATCGAAAAGTGCAACGTCCTTGAGGGGATGCTAAGAAATAAAGAAGAAGAGATCAAAGTTAGTAGGGTCATGGAGGCTCAATGTGGCGATCTCGAGGCACATGTGATCGAGCTGCGCATGCAGTTGGAGGATTTATCGCCTGCAGCTGTAGGTTCTTTACGGCAAGATTACTGATAAGCAAAATAAGTTGGAGAGGGCGGAGTTTTCTTGTTCGATGGCTTCGAGGAAAGAGGAGGCCCTCGAGGTGGTTATCTGGACTGTCCGTTCTGAGCGAGAGATTGATTTGGAGACGACGAGACTTAAAGAAGAGCTGCTCGATGAGAGGATTGGGGAAGTTGGATAAAGACAACTCCTTCCTTCAGGACCAGGTGGCCGTCTTAGAAGCTGAGTAGGCTCAAATTCTTGCGTAGCCGTAATCTTCTCATACTTCAGATTTCCCAAACATTCCCGGGGCTTGTACGAGGAATGGATTCACGCTGAAGCTCAGCTGGATGTGTTCAGAGATTTGCATGTGGCAGGATATATTCCTAGGGCCGCCCTTGAAGATGCTCATGTCAAGGCCCGCGAAGCTCGAATAGCTTGCAGGTATGAACTTGCTATACCGGAGGCTAATGACGAAGAGAGGGACATGGGTGCGGACTAGATTAAAGATGACGCCTGGTATGAAGACACGTACCCTGAGGGCGGTGGTGATGGCGAGGGCACAGATGGAGATGGACCAGATGGAGATGGCCCAGATGGTCAGGCCGATGGCACTGATGGGCCTGGCGGTGACCAGTAGTTTTTCTTCTTCCTTCTTATTTTTGCTGTGAACTTATGCGTATTTTGTAGGCGTCTTTACGAGCCTTTGTAAAACTAATCTAAGTATGAAATTTCAACTTTGTTATTTGTACCTTATTCTCTTCCTGCGGTTCGTACTTGTATGTTTTATGACTTTGTCGCTTGCTTATCTTAATTTTATAAGTCATAATCACTTAGTTCGAATACGGTCGAACATATCATATGTTTAATTATGGTCGAGGGCCAGTAGGTATTAGTTCGAACGAGGTCGAACATAACTTATGTTTGACTATGGCTGAGGGTCAGTAGGTGTTAGTTCGAATGAGGTCGAACATGACCTATGTTTGGTTGTACATTTGGAGAAAATATAAAAAAACTTCATGCATTGTTGTTTTTTTCATACACTTGAAGAAATTTACAAATTTTTAGGTGTTGGTTGGCATTCCAGTCTACCCAGTCCCTTCATTGGTCGTCCAAGAGAAGGCTTGAGAGGTCGGGCAATGAACTAGCCGTCTTGGGCCTCCGTTTTTGCGTACTTCAACTTGAAGTGTCCCCTTCGTCGCCTCGTTAAAAACTTCCTTGAGAAAATCTAATTGGGATAAAACTCAAGTGAGGGAAAAAAGGTATGACTTGGAGGACGCTTTACCTCCTAAAAGTTAAAGTACTTGAGATGGGTAATATTCCAGTTGTTTGGTAGTAGCTTT